AAAGCGGGAAGTTTAAAGCTCGATTTCAGGGCGAAGACTCGTCAGAATCCAATTTATATTTAAGAATACTTTTTTACATGTTAAATACATACCAAAACTATAGTATAAAAACCCTGTTGGCCGTATAGACACTTTAACTTATGCTACATTTGACATGCTTTCAAGACCTAATCAAGGGCTTCGAAAACAATTCGGGAAAACAAGTGTAGCGGTATCACCATGAATCGGATAACAATGCGAGCAGCCACGCGTACTCAAATCTATCATAGTTTCGATTGTATCAAAGACAATGGATGAATGATATCAAACGATCTAGTTCCTCCCTCAAAGACCTGTTAAGATAAAAATGGGCAATTAAAATGATTTCAGGATCCCAGATAAGCTGTGTTCGGCCTTTTTTGTTTATTTCTGCCTGTGTATATTCAAAGCAGTAACTTTTATAAAATGTAAACATATTGGGAGATAGAATAAGTCATATTGGAACAGCTAAATTTTAATTAGGAGTAGCTCGAAAAAGCAGGCGAGGGTAATTGAAATATAATAGTGCCAAACGGATTGATTAATTTCCCTTGCCTTTTTTGAACTGAGTTATTCATCGTTTTCTCGAGGTAATGAGCGATTTGCAATTATTTGATGGACATATGTACTTGGCTCCACAGCCATACGCTGTATACCAATCGCTGTACAGATTTCGTTTCCTCTTAAATCCAGAACTCCTCTCTGATGCGGTATAACGTACATCCCTATGGTGGCCATTTCTCTGGGCAGACGAGGTGTAACAGCTGTCTGGGTCGCTCTGTTGTGCACATTCATCATAGCACCATCCCGCTCCACATTGGCTCTTCGCCGCCTTATTTGTATAAAGACTCAGTGGTTCTTGACGACGAAACACATGATTGTAAACAAAATAAATAGACAGGCGAGGCTCACGATCTCGATGGTCGACATTATTGTACTTAACTGTAAATCACTGACTAAAATCGTCTCTCCAAAGTAATAAATCGTTAGATGAAACTTCTGCAGGGATAGAGGAAACAGTTAGAATTATTCTATTCGCTGACTTTGAAGAGTCCATCGGAACATCAATCGAGTGTTGATTAACGGGACTCTTTGGAGCCGAGGTTCCTGGTGGTCATATTAACAAAGCTTCTTCTGTACGTAAAGAGGAACCAATTAGAATTGTTCTACACACTGACTATCGAATAAGACGTCAGTCTGAGTCCGCCACTATCAATCAACTGATGATTAATAAGGTAAGTTCCTTGCGGTCTAATTAAGTAATGATGTTTTTGTACGTAAAGAGGAACCCATTAGAATTGTTGTACACACTGACTATCGATGACGTTATTAACAACTGTCATTAACTGATGATTAACAAGGTTGTTTGGAGTGAGGTTTCTTTTGGTTAATGATCAAAGCCATTTTTTCAATGGCACGGTTCTCTTGAAGTCCTTAACTGCGACTTGGCTAATTTGATATTGATTTTGTTTGCAAAGAAGAAGAAGGCGGAGCTGTTTGGGAAACATATTAGTAAGCAAGTCTATTCGCTGGCTTTTCATTTTCAGTTTTCTGAACCGAATTGAATTGCGTAAGCGGAAGTTTAACTCTGAGTAGTCCAAGTTGTTTTTAAAAATATTTTACCCCAGTCGTAATCAAGGTCTTCTTAGTTCTGGGGCCGATTCTTGCTCAAGTCTTCTGCATTTTCGCGCTATGGGTGTGAACTCTTTTTTCAAAGAGTTCATTTTTTCGTTTTCCTTTTTGATACCGACGTAACTTTTTTTTACCTTGGATTCCGTTGGACAACGACCGATCACTGAACCAAGGGGTATTTAACACAAAATATTGTTTTTCCATTGTAGTTATGCCTTGCGAGGCAGGCCGCTTTGGCTAACGCACAAAGCGTGAAGACACAAGTGCGTATGCTAAAATAAACTTTCACGCATGTAGGCGACTGACGAAAAATGTCATATAACCGTCGCAGTTTTCAACTCTTACTGAAGGAAAAATCTCAGCAATTACTTCGTAGATGAGGGTTAAAGATTCGATATCAATTAAACTAAGAGTTTGGATGAAGAAGAATCTTTCACAACCCAATGAGTGCCTCATATGTATTTATAAAAATTAGAATCCTTGGAAATATCGATAGCGAATCAGATTGAAGTAAAATCGCTTAAAGATCAGTTACAGCTCTACGAGATATTGACTAAGCATTTCCACCAGTTACAACAGCGATATGCGTGATATGCATATAAAATAATCAACTCACGTAAATGATCTCTCAGAAACCAAAATGGATAAGGGGCAAAAAGCTTTCGTCAAAGCAGACGGAAAGTCAAGCGATCAGGCAGCCTCAAGCGCCGAGGAAAGCGGAAAAAAATTGTCGCTCGAAAGCGAAAGTATAGTCATAGCTTTACCATGTGAAATATGCGAGGAACTGTGTCCGTCGGACACGCTAATAAATCATCAACTTCAATGCCGAAAGGATAGAGAAAACGCGAAACGAAGCAAGTTGAAAGATTCTTCATCTGACGCAAAAGAATTTGCGTTTAATGGATGCAATGCTGATATGCCGCCAGTTCAAGGAGTTCGGTACGTAGAAGTTCAACGAGGTTACAGTCCAACCATAGAGTTTGAAGATGATGTTGACACCAGTGATTTTGCCGATGATATTGTTACAGATATTTTTTTTAACGGCCACCGAAGCGAGTTTTCAACGCCGCCAAGGGCAGACCCCTTCGCAACTGGAAATAACAGTTCCTTTTCCAGTACGAGATATGTTGAAATCCAGCGAAGTTACAGCCCTATAATGGAGTTTCGGGATGAAATTTCTCCCGAACTGTTCGCGTACAATATCCCGGAATTTATTCGCACTCAAGATACGACAAGAACTTTTGAAGAGTCATAAAACAACAGAAGAGCATTAAATCGTCAAAAAGGATGATCAGTGACGGATGAAATAGGCACTGGGAAATCATATTCTCGCGAAACTTTCAGCTGCCAAATATTTTGAGTCGGTTTAAAAAAGGTGGAACTTAAAGAAATGCACAAAGGGAAAGCTATGCTGTTTTTTTTTTTTTTCTCGAAGCAGAATATCACGAAACACTCGTTTGAAAACAAGGTGCTTTTATTCTGATTAGGTAACTCTGTACAATATAACAAAACACGTGCATTCAAAGCGTTTTAGCCTAGTACAAGAGTAATACAGGTTTGGTTGTATGTCCATGTACACCCTAACATCAGTGTGTATTTTCTCAGTACTGTTATCCATACATTTTCTTTGGTACTGACAAGGGGAATTTGTACAACAGTTAAGATCTTCTTTATTTGGTGATCATTTATTAATTCTCGTGACCAAAGAAATTAAAGGAAATATTGACTCGTTAATGAACGTCATCAATTAAGAGTTGCGATGAAGTTCCCAAAAAAAAGTCATTTTTTCCTGGCTTCGCCATAATGAAAATCATTTTGGCTGTCGAAAAATGTTAAGAGAGAAAAAACGCGAAGAGACTAGAAGAGACGTGAAGAGCTACCAATAATGGATTTGGTGGATTTTAATGATAACTAAAGTTCATTCATCGGCTTAAATTGTGTAGCTAACAGTTTCTTAAGTTAGCTATGAATGAAATTTATCAAGGCGTATCGCAGCTCCACCACCAGACTATACTTCACACGCACTTAATACCGCTTGCTGCGGAAGTTACGTGAACTTCCCGCCCTTCGTAGTTGTCTTTAAATACAGTCTGGTGTTATAACATGGAGAACACGCTGGTCGAATCACTAAGGGCTCTGTCCAATCGTGGTTTCTTGGACGCCGGTAGCTCTATTGCAGAATTTGTGCGTTGTAATTTCTGAAAGAAAAACCAAACGTTGCGACTAGTTTGCATAATTGGTAAGAATTTTAGTCTTCTCTTTTTCGTTTCAAGTTGTTCCGGTAAAATTCTTCACCATTTCTAAAAAATTATATCGGCTTTTCTTTCCAGTCAAATTGTCCCTGTTCAAATCACGCACTTTACTACCTATTTCTCGTAATATATGCCACTATAAAATACCAAAAAAAAGCGAGATTGCCTCTAAATCAAAAAAATAAGCTTCACTGGAAACAACTTGAACTGCAGGGCTCGAAATTAATTTTTGGAGCACTTAACCCTTTGGGTTAGTAGATATCTTTTCTACTAACCAAATTATAAAATTTGGTATCCAAGCTCACAAGTTACGATACCTCAAATATTCAACATTTTGATAGTAACGACTAGGACAAATTAAAGAGTAGCTAAAATTGCGCGTTGACCTTAAAAACGTTGACAATTATGCACTTATTTTATTTCCCTCTCGTTTACCATGATAAGTCAAGAACAGTACATCGACAGCACATTTTCTAAAAAGAGTTTAAGCTGATTTAACAACTTGAGTATTCTAAGTATTCCTCTGAGAGTCGGGTCTACGTGCTCTTTGTCCCGAAGTCCACCAATGTTTAAATATGTTAGAAAATTTTACTAACCATGTCGGGTTAGTTAGACACATTTTTAGTAACCAAACGTTGAAAATTACTAACCATTGGTTAACGGGTTACCGTTAATTTCGAGCCCTGAAACTCTTCCAATAACAGTTACATTCGATATATGCACTCTGGCTTTTGGTCTTTTGGTTGGACACCGATTTAATGCAAACTTCTCTAACAAACCTTACAGATCACTACGCGAAAAGTCAATGGACAAAGTGGAACTTGAACATTACGTTTTTTATCAACATAATTTTAAATCGCATCAGTGTTAGTAATCTATATTGGCTCGCCACATACCTTAGCATCGGTGTTAATAATCTATATTGGCTCGCCACATACCTTAGCATTAGAGTTGTTCTTGCCAGACGGTGACACTGTATGAAAGACAAATCCTCGTGTTGTGGCGGACGCATTCGGCGCATTGGATGTGAGCGAGGAAAGTCTTGATAGAGTCGTTTTATTGTGCTTCAAAAAGGATCCTTTAAAAGACTACGAAAGAGGACGAAAATTAAGGCTTGACAAGTGTTTGATTATAATAACTTTGGAATTCACGTGAAAAGGAACACGAAAATGGCAGACCGCTCGTGGGAATAAATAATGGTAATTGCACAGAGTGGAGTGCAATTTGGGCTGAAATTATACGCGTGATTTCAAAATCGAACTCGCGCTGCGCGCTCGTTCGATTTGAAAACACAAGTATGCTTTCAGACCAAAATTGCACGACATGAGGTTTAATTACCACTTTATTACATCCATTTTGAAATCGCCCAAATACAGGACTTGGTCAATTCAAATATTTTATTGATGTAGTACTGAGCCGGTTTTTAAAGATAATAAAAGTGATCGTCGAACTAATGAACGCTATCAAGCAGTAGTGAAAATAAGGCCTGAAAGAAGATTCAGGCTTGTACGGGATTTGAACCGATGACCACTACGATACCGGTGTAGTGCTCTACCAACTGAGCTGACAAGCCAACTGGGAGCTGGTTACCCTGTTGGTTCATAATCAAAACCCGTGAGGTGATAAATAAATGACTGTGAATATTTGGATATCATGTATTTGAACTTCAGATTAGTAAATGAAGATGAGATTGATCACTGTAGTGTGAATGAACACTACTCAGTCCCTTCAGTTGTAAGAGGGTCTCAATGAGGTCAAACGATAGCCGTAAAACAACCAAATTTTAACCATTTAGCGTAAAATAAAATTCTGGTGACAACAATGGAGTGGCATTTTAAACCTTTAGCCGTAAATGAGCCAAAATCTTAACCGATAGCCGTAGAAGCCATCACCGCATTGAACCCTCTTTACCCACACAAACAGGGAGGAACAAGGTTCAGCGCACTTACGGTTTTTTTCTTTGACACTGGCGCTACGCTGTTTTTGTAGTTCAGTATGATTGCTTGGGGCTTCACTGGAGCTGGAAAAAGAAGAAAAATAATTATTTAGAACAGTTATGTAGAAAACGGGAAAGAAAGTTGACAAAATTGGTGAAAAAGTTACAAAAGAGACACCCTGACCGTACCTTCTGGTAACTGACTACTCGTATCTTTAATCTTATTGAGAATATTTTGGCTGTTTTCGTCAAGATCTAACATATTACTCTCTTTCTTTTTTTCCTGTTGGAGGTAAAATACAACAAAACAAATCAAATCAAATCAAATGTTACACCGCTCGGCAATATAAAAAAATTACTCCAACCAAATTCTAAAGACTCGGTAAGCTAGTTTGGGTTTAGAAACAGACGCGTTAAACGCACGTAAAACGAAAACCAAAGTTTGATTGGTTGTGGTGATAACTTATGTAATTTTGATTGGCTGTTTTTGTCAAGATCTAACCAATCAAAACACGCAACCGACCTTAAGCGCGGGAAAACGCGGGTGACCGCGTGCGTTTGTTTTCAGCTTTTCAAATGATTGGTCAAAAGAATGACGCCAATTTTCCAGAACAATGGCATACCAATAGAAGATGCAAACCCAGCGAGTTGATTTTCGCACTCAGTTGAAAATTGCTCTATCTTATTTCACAAGGGTCAAAGAGAGTTTCGTCCTACCAGTTCTTCTCTCAGAAACGTTTCTCTTTCATATCTTTCCTTGCGTCTTTGTATCTCTTCTTCGGTACTCAGTTCAGTTGGCTCTCCCTCTTCGTCGCCCCACAAGCCTTTGTCGCCAAACAGATTAAACTGTGAATTCTCATCAATACCCCTCCACCGGAAGTGCCTTGTGCGGCCCTGCCCATCTGAATAAAGATCGCCATCAGGGAGGAACATTTCTTTGACAGCTCTTAGTTCCACGTTGTCCTGGTCGTGGATTGATTTCCTGCAAGAAAATTAAAGAATTATTTCTTTTGCAAAACTCCTTCTTTGTCAGTACCAAACACAAGACTTTCCTAGGTTCAGTGCCGTGGGTTTTTGGTTGACGCATTGGACTCCAGATAAATGGGTTTAAACCTTTGTCTGGTGTCGCTGAGGCAAAAAACTTCGAACCCACGTTGCCCCTCTCTTCTGGGTGTATGAATGCGTGCTAGATTAAAACTTAATAAATTTCCGGGGAGGGGGTAGGGGGAAAGGAAGGGTTTACCAGCAACAGATTAACAACTCGTTCACGAAGAGCAGCAAACTCGAGTATCGCTGTGGAATCCCGACAAAATTCTTTAACAGTACGATAGGTCCGCAATATCATACGTGCAAGAAATAAATCTACAGATCTGTTCATTCGGTGTTAAATACCACTTACATATGAACTTTATTAATCTGTTTCTGCAGTTCTTCATCAGATGGTAAATCTTCTCCTCCAGATTCCTCGTCCAAAACATCATCATCTGTGGCAATATCTTCATCTTCATCAGATCCTACATCACTGCCAGATAACTCAGCTTCTTCCTCCAAAAAATTTCTTTTATCAAAAACATTCCTATACATATCAGAACAGAAGAGCAGTTAGCCCTTTACACCCTAACATCAGCATGCATGTTCTCCATACTGTTGTCTATACATTTCCCAAGGTGCTGACAAGGAGAATTTGTTTAATGATTAAGAGTCGTGATCATTTCCTTTATGTTTGTGACCTTGGTTTGGGTGTGATATTCATGGGTTTCATAAGAGGCTGGGCACCGGGCAAATTGACCAGTTGTGAGGAAAGTTTTGCCCACCTGGTTTGACGATCTGGAGGAAAGTTTATCTTATAAAGAAGTTCGGTTCAAAATGTTTTGCCCGCCTGTGAAAACCAGTCGCCCTTCTGCTGAAAACATCAATGAAACCCCTGGATATTGCAAGGAGAAATAAGATGCTAGTCACCTTTAGAGGTTAAAGGGCCAAACTAAATCACCTCATGTGTCAATGATAAAGACACTGTGGTGAGGGCCGAAAAACATGAACAGAGAAAATGAATTAATCACATACTTTTCCTTTGTGCCATAAGTCTTGCCATACTTTCTTTTAAGAATCATCTCTTCAGGGTCACTCTCTTCGTTGTCATCATCACTCTCCTTATCCCTTTTCTCGTCATTGTCCTCAACATCAATCTTGTCCTCTTCTTGACCAACCTCTGTTTCCCTTTGCTCTGAACCCTTTTGTTGCCTCTCTAACACCTCACCTATCTCATCATCACCATTATCATCATCGCTGAACTTCCCTGAGCACAAATCCAGTAGTTCATTCATGCTGCACTGTTTGCTTTGTGTGTCAAATTTTAAGCTTTTCCTCTGCCCCTTTGTTTTATTTTGAGTTTCGGTGTTATGAAGAGGTTCACTGTCTTCGTTGTCACTAAATCTTCCAGAACACAACCCGAGCAGTTCCTTCATGGCTGGCTGGGTATTTCCACTGATTTTGTCATTGAAAAGATTCTTTGTTTTTGTTTGGCTCTTTTTACTGGAGTTCAGGAAACTGCAATGGAAACAAAAACAAATAGGGAATAGTAACACCATACAAATGTATTTGTGGTAGCCACTATGACAATGTTTAGCTTCAGAAAGATGGAAAAACACATACAAATGGAAAAATGGAAAACAGGCTTAAGACTACAGAGCACATTCATATTTTATGTGGCATACAAACAAGATAACCCGTAAAACAAGGATAAATATTAATTTTTGTCGTCTATGATTTCCCAGAAATTTCAGGATTAATCCCATCATAAGTTCAATGTATAAATGTCAATAAACATCTGCTTTCTTTTCAGTAGCTTTCTAAGCCAGTCTATCTTTTGTCTTTCCATACAATGAAATACAATGCTTTTGATCAGTATCAGCCAGAAAAGTTGACTTTTCCCCACAGGTTATATTTCTTAACTTAACATAACATAAAAAATAACAAAAAACAAAATGACAAATGAAAATTTGAACCATTTCTGTTTCATAGGACTAAATTAGCATGCTGAAATTATGAAAAACTTCAGAAAAAAACTGTGGGGACAACTCAGGGGAAAAAATGCAGGAGGAAAACTACTCTTGGGGAGAAAAACTCAGGGAAAAAAATTCCCAGGACATTTTTGTTAGAACCATTCAATCAAGGAAAATAAAGAGAAGTTTATAACTATGAACCACAATTCAGAATGCTGAAGAACCAGAAAAAAAGGCAACACTGCAGAACTGCCTTAACAAGTAACATAAGACTAACCCCTGAGTGTTCAGAATTTGAGTGAACTGCGTATCTTCATCAAGAGAGAAGTGGAAATCACTAGACATGGGCTCTGATCCTGTTTTTAGTTGCTGAGAGTTGTTATCTTCAACATTCCTATCATTCCCATGATCAAACAAGTCCTGAAATTAAAAAAAAAATTAGTCGACAAAAAATTGGTTTTACTTAAATTCTAAACAAAATCTAAATAACTTTCACCAACTTTTCTGGTCACAGATTGAGTTTTTTGCAAATAGAACATAACTCTCAGGAGATGAAGCATTAGATAATTGCAGATACTGACACAAATCAAGGAAAATTCAACAGAGAATGTTAGTGAATTCTACATTCTTTACATGAATTGAAACACATACCTGGGAATCTTCAATGGGAAGTGTGAGCTGAGATAATTTGCCAGACTGAAAAACAAGTGGAAAAAATTTGTAGGCCTTATGCATATACACACAGATCTAAACTAGCTGTGCCTTAGCTCTTCCTTGTTGGGGTAAAAACACATCTAAGTTACATGTAAGTTCACTGTTTTCAATCAGTTATTACCTTCTTTTCGTACAGTGTATCACCATAATTTCCTATACCAATGAGATTTCTGACTCTGGAAAATGATGAGAATATCTCGGGTGTTTTCTTCCCTGAACTCCTGTCTCCAAGGGCTCTACTATCCCCCTCTCCTGGTGGTATCACACTACTGTCACTGCTAGCCTCAAGACTGTTTGCATTCTCACCAAACTCTGACCCTAGCCCTACCCCAAAACTTGACTGGCTGGACTCCTGTGATGCCTCAGAAATATTTGCCACATTTTTCATTTTAGCCTTCATCTTAGATGATACTGGTGAGCTGGGAAAGTTGAAATTTGTATCATCACCATCTTCCAAACTGTCTAGCCGTAGACAAAGGCTTTCCACACTCTCTCCAGTGCCTTTCTCATTGTTACTGTTTTTCTCTAAAGACCCATCATTTTCCAGTCCTCTGGAACGGCTGTCACAGAAGAGATCCATAGTTTCTTCCTTTGAATGGACGATTGATTCCTTTATTAAACTTTGTTTTTGTTTCTTTTTCAATGAATGAAGAGATGTAATGGAAAATTCATCATCACTAAAGGCAGAGTTTTCATCTGCGCTGTTGTCATTTTCACCATCATCACTGACATCTCCCTCAGATCCTGAGTCAACGTCATCTCTGCCATCACCAAAATCATCATGATCACTTTCATCTGCTTCATCATCCAAGAAGTCATTCTTATCCTTAACCTCTTTGTCTTCTCCGTCTTCCCCATCAACTTCACTGCCACCTTCCTCTTGCTTTTGCTCATCATCTTCATTCCACTTGTCAAGTTCATAATCAGAATCATCTGCATAATGATAATAAGAAATATTCTTTCTCAACATCTTCAAAGACTGACCAAACAAATTTAATGTCTTCCTTGGGTGATTATCAGAGCAGTGTAATAACACTTTCTTTACCTCAATTTTCATAAATTTTAGCAAACTGTAAGATCACCGTATTGAAAATTGGTGTTTGAGAACTGTAATAAAATTGTAAGAAGGAGGAATTGTTGCCTGTGCCTTGCAATCCTGACCTCTCAGAGTGTAAGTTTTCTATACCAATGTAGGTCTAACATTGCATGGCAATCTTGAGAGCCTAAAATAAATTCAAAACTCTAATGCATGCCATCTAGGATGTATATCTTCACTGTACCTTCTTCATCTGTCATCTCTTCTTCTTCTTCTTCTTCCTCACTCATTTCTTCATTGTCTAACTTCCGCTGAGATTCTTGTATTTTCCTGTTTTCAGCTCGTTTTACTCTCATTTCTTTTTGTAATTGTTCCTTCAGAAGTTGAAGCCTGGAGCCTGTAGGAAAACACAGTATATTGTTTAAACTTGCAACTAGAGGTCCAATTGATGCTTGATTTACATTGCAGTACACGTAGACCTATTTGTCCCTTTGCAACATCAAACTGCTACATGTATGTTGTATTCAATTCACTTGATCTCAACAAGAGTGATAAAGGAACTTAACCATTGCCTTCAAATAATACAACATATATACATGTAGGAAGAAACACTAAAATTCAATAAATGCAACAGTATTTAATTGAGTTTATACCACATTTAATTTTTCATTCTGATACCTCACCTTGGAATTTCTACTTCACTTTAATCTACAAGTCTATGAAGTTGTTTTACCAGTAACAATTTTCTGGAATTAGACTATTAACAGGGTTCTTGTTAAGAGCTGGTAACCAGTCATTTTTACTGGCTATTCAAATGTTACTGGTTATTTCACTAAGACCCGGGACTGAAATATTTACTGAAGTTATCCAAGGATTTTTTTGGAAAAATATCTCTTTTCTCCTTCCAACCAATGTTGTGAAGATATCTACCACATGTTAACAGTTTGAAGATACACCACATGTTAAAGAAATCCTGCTTTTTTTAACCAAATTTGTCCCTCGCAGTCACCTCGTGAAATGACCTCCGCTATGTTTTCCATTCCATTCTTCTCATGGCCAAGCAAAAAGGCCCAGCATTTACTGAGAAATGCCACAGTTGGCAGCATGGTGTCCACACGTGGAAAACCTACCCCTAGACCCTGGTGGGGGCCTATGCGGCCTGCACACCCCAGCATGGGGGAAGTTACCTGCTGTTTCTTATTTCTGGTTATTTCACTGAGACCCGGGACTAAATTATTTACTGAAGTTATCCTAGGATTATTTTGGAAAAATATCTTTTTTCTCCTTCCAACCAACTGTTTCTTATTTTTTACCTCCTATGAAAAACTTTAGTAAGAACCCTGTATTAAGCACAGTCACTAAAATGCTATGTGCTCTGTTCAGACTCACCAGGTGTCTTGGCAGTCATGAGTTTCTCATTACTAAGGACTGGGTTTACCCCCTTAGGTTTGGGTGTGTCTACCAAAGAGACCTCCTCTGTTGGGTGATCTTTTCTCTCAGTGAGCTTCTTTGCAGTGGCTGACTTGTCTTGAGGCTTAAAGGTGTGCTTCAAAAATCTGAAACAAAAATATATCAAATGGAATTAACTGAGAACGGCTATATGAAGTGAACAGCACTTCTCTACTATTTTCAATTATAACAGAAATGAAGCCCAGTTTTTGAAAAGCATTTTTTTACATAACAATCTGCAAAAAGACTTCTCAATTCAGCATTTTCTATGGTAAATGATGCTAACATTCAGATTCCCAGACAAATTGCTTGGGGTAAAGTATCGCGTCTATATGAGCAAAAGAAATCAACTGAATTGTGAGAAGAAGAAACAAAAAATTATGAGAAGAGAAAAATTGTGAGAAGGAGAAAAATCTGCAACTTCTATTTAAACTCACCCTTGTAAAAGCATTTATTGGTTTCGATCAACTCTTACCTATCTTTTAAACTCTGCACGCCACTACTTAATGGCTTTGCCATAGGTGGGTCAGCATCTAAGTCCAAGAAGAATGGATCTGTAGCAGCACTCAGCTTTGGCGTGGCTGCTTTAGACATCACCTTAACTGCACCAGCAGCAGCTGTGGGACTAGCAGTGTCGGCAATTAAGGGACTAGCATGTTCTTGGTCATCAGGCTTACCATTACCAATTAGTGATGTCTGGTTTTCAAGAGGACCCCCTGAAGAAACTACCCTAGGGCTGAAAGAAAGAGGGGGGGGACATTGACAACCATAAATTCTTTTGTGTTGCATTACTTTCTTGGAAGAGGTCATACTCTAAAACTAATTATGTCAACCAGATCTGACCAAATCATTTTGAGTGTTTGCTTGTCATGATAACAAAGAAATTCAAGTTGCCTCTCCTATCCTAGAAAAAAAATGACAACATTGTGATGTGGCATACATTGGACAAAAATGCTAGGTTGCAGCACAAGATAGCACCTATTATGATTATGATAAACTAGCACAATCTTAAGAAAAAAAAAAGGTTGCATGGAGACTGAATACTTGTCCCTCTTTCTATATAATGTAGAAAGAGGGACAAGTATTCAGTGTCAACTTATTCAATTATTCAAGTATTCGATTATTTCTTTTTTCCTGGGCCCAGTAATGTTTGAAGGCTGATTAGCACTAACCCAGGGTTAAATTTTAATCCAGGTTTCTATATTTCTCTGTTCAAGAGCCGTTTTGGGAAAAAATTTCCAATACTTTTCAGAGCATTCAATCATCAAACTGTAGACAAGTGGAATTAAACTAAATTTTCTTTGAAAGCTTTAAGATCTGAAATCAAATTTTACACTAACCCTGGGTTATTTTAACCCACCTTTGAACAACCCGGTCCTGATGGTTAATCATCTTTGTTTCTTAGGGTAAAAATTTTTTCCTATCAATTCCACTGTGTATGAAAAGTGTTGGTAAAACAATACCTACACCCTTTCCTTCTCCCTTCCTTGACTTGAAATGGTCTTTCCTTAATTATAAAAAAATGCAAACTAAAGATTACATTATAAGTATGCGTTAGAGTACCTGTTGGAATTCTTCTGATCTGTTAGTGGCACCCTTTTCAGAAAATGAGCTATTGGAAGAGCAGCTGGCAAGTGGTATGGAAGCTTGACTATTGATTCTGAAAAGTAAAAAAAAATTCAACTGAAGTTTAAAAGATGCAAGAAACTTAGATTAAGTAGCAGTTTTTACATAGCTTGTAACCCCTGAGAGCAACTAGAATCTAATTTCTCTTTACAATATCACCCAGGGCTCAACATTAACAGCAGCCAACTAGCCACAGACTAGTAGAAATTCAGTTTTGGATAGTGGTTTTCGATTTCCACCAGCCAGTTTGGCTAGTAAACAAACTGAAATTGTTGTAACATCTAAGTTAATTGTCACTAGCCACTTGGCTGGTAAGTTGAAAATTTAGTGTCAAGCCCTGTCACTCCTGAATCAAACATCATAAAGTTCAGGAGAATTCAATAAAGGAAATGATCACAAACTAAAGACGCTCTTGATTATTACACAAATTCTCCTAGTAATGGTACCAGTGTGGTTATTATCCATACAGATTTTAGGGGGTTAAGGCTTGAAATTTTGACGCAGAAATAAACAATAAGCAAAAATACATGTACACACAAACCTCTGACCATTCTCTGTGTTTCACTGTGCATTGACATAAGTTCTGCCTTCTTTGCTTTACGGGGCCTGGGAGACTGCAACATGAAAGCCGATTAAATCTGTGTTTTTATCGGTAGTTCTGAAGCGTACGTGGGCTAAATTTTTCTATCAGGTACAGAGGCTTCAATTTCGAAAAAGGGAGATGCTGTTTCATTTGTGGTAGAGACTCAAACTTTAAGTATTTTTTCACTTCTTTCGCACAGAAGCTACTCGAGTCCAATTCATATGCAAATTTGTAATGATTTGTTGTAAGGTATTTTATCTCTTTCTAAATAGTACATCTCAGCTCGGTAGACGATATGCATTAGCCAGTAACAGCTGTATAAATTTGCCTATTCTCATTGACCAGTTAAAGTTCACAGATACTTTATGAAGCTTTATTAAAGTTAACAAACACAGTCTGCTGGTAAATTTAACCTGTTTACCTTCTTTCTAGATTCTCGTCTTCGATGTTTCTTTTTCTTTTCAGATGTATTGTCTTCCCCAGAATCTCCATTTGCAGCTTCTCCGCCCGAACTGTCTTCTTCTTTCCTGTCGATGCGCTCGGGTGCCGGGGATTTTGGAGCGCTTTCGTTGTCTGTAAAATTCCCATCTCGTCCACCATCACTATCTTCCCCGAGCTCCGCGTCAAACAAGTCGTCGTTTGCAAATTGCTGTGCCATTTCGAGCAAAAACTGGTTAAAAAATTATCAATAGAACTCAAAGAAATAAAATTATGTAGGCCATCTAACCTGCAACACGTCGACAGCTCCTGGCATTTTGAGTAAAGTCATCGATACGAGTAAGAATCTTTCTTCCCAAAGCGAATTCCGCGCCAAACAGAAACTCCAAATGCTTTGTTCGTCCATCAGAAAAATTCCGGAATGCACCGGAAAACGTCGTAAGCTTTCGGAGATCAGGCACGGTTACCAAGACCACTCAATATCTTTCTTGAGCTTCATTACCTCGCTACTTTTTGTTCTTTAGACATATACTCGTTTCATAAACTGTTTGAAATACAGCTATACACTTGGGATAATCGATTATTAAACCATGGATTCCTCTCTTATTAAGGATTATAAGTCCTTCAAGGCTAGAAGTATGAAGCAACCTACTGTCGAATCGAAAAAGGCGAAACCATCAGGTGGAGAACACAAGTCAAAACCCAAAGTTCCGAAGAGTAGTTATTTGCCAAAGGAATTGTTACAACCGAAGAAACCAGCCAGCCCTTCTCCTGATTATAAATCACATGCTTTCAGAAGCAAGCACAAGTTCGCTGTGCTCGCGGCTATCGTGGACTTTATGAAACAGCGTCATCTTCAAAGAAAGTTTGATCCGTTGAGTTTGGACGAGATACTCGATCAAATTAAGTACACTGACATCAACCAAGGCGACAAAGCTTGGTTGGGCAATGAAGCCTTGAAAGAAAACTCTAAACTCATTCATAAAGATGGTAAGTTTGTTTTCAAACCGAAGTATCACATAAAGGACAAAAAGCAGCTTCTGAGGCTTTTAGAGCGGCATGAAGATTCGGGTTCTGGCGGAATTCTTCTCGACGACATAAGAGAAAGTTTGCCGGATGCTGATGAAGTCATAAAGTCAGTTGGACGTCGGATCATGTTCATTACGCGCTCAACGGACAAAAAGGTTATACTCTTCTTTAAGAATGACCAGCATCAACTTAAAGTTGATGAGGAATTCCAGAAGCACTGGCGAGGAGTCTCTGTGGAAGGAATCGGTGAAAATGACATTGAGAAGTACCTGATAAATGCTGGGATCACGACAATGCAGGATTCGGGAATCAGGAGGCCACAACAGGCACAACAGAAGAGGAAAACAAACAGGAAACGAAATTTCAAGAAACTGAACACTCATTTAGATGAGAGTACCTTGAAGGATTATTCAGAAAACTAAGTGAAATGTTAAAGAGAGCTTCAAATATGTACTGTACATGATTCCAGTTGTCCACTCAAACCTATTTTTGCTCAGGCCTAACCCACTTTTGGCTGAACAAATGTCCAGTATAAATCCCCCCCCCCCCCTTTTTATGGAACTGTACAAAATTAAATGACACTCATGGCCCACTCTTCAAAATGATAGCCTTTTCCACCCTCTCTTTGCTTCCTGCCTCTATTAATTGTAGCCTTTCCCTACACTGCTTCCAATTGGAACACAGGCAACCTTCATCATTTCAAAATAAACAGTTTACAATCATGCATTGATTGTTAGCTGAATATATTGTCAAAGAGATTCGTCATGCAATGAATTAATTATCGATGAACATTATTGCTTTTCTACATACACTGTCATGGATAACATAGTTCAACAATAGACTGCACTCACTGTTAACTCTTTATGGTGGCTAATTTACAATTTCAACTTAGTTGAAGTCACTGTGGGTTTGCTGGTAACATTTTGTAAATCATGAGCTGAAGGGAAGTGATTTGCAAACATTGCGAGTGTTCTCCCAACATCCCATGTGGGTCAGTAAGTGCAGTCTGATGCTTTATAAAACAAAACTTAAAAAAGAAAAACAATTTTCTATGGGTGTAGCTGTGCAGTAAACAATAGGTTTTTAACCAATCAGGGCATCCGTAATAACAGTAATAGTAACTTGGTAACAGCTTCTTTTGTTACATTAGATTTTACTGTTCTATTAGCTTTTTTTTTCTTCAGTATCACCAAATTTGGATCAAGGCAAATACCCTTTGGCTATGATGAAAATGATCTTCCCTTTATTTGTTTCTTCTTACTTTCTTCTCAGTTTTTCCCTGCATAAGTTTACATGAGGGAGGGGCTGAGGGGGAGGCCTTAACTATCCCCTTTCCCACTTCAGCACTATTGGCTGAGGCTCATGCACTCATCTTTTGGCCCCCCACTCTAAAATTTGCGATGCAGGCCCAGTTACATAGCCAAGTTAGCATGGTTTGAGGGGACCTAAGCTATGGTAAATGTGGACCCTTATACTCATCACCAGATGAAAGCATACATTACCAGCACTTCGTAGTGACTGACTACCTGCATTTCTCTTCCTATGGGAGTACTACAAGCCTTCTGTGGGTGACTTATGCTGGACAATAAAGTCCTATAGCCCCTTTTTGTGATTCTCTCCAAATAAAATCTAGAAGAGACTTTTTAATTACAACACTAAAAAAAATTATATTTCAAGGCAGTTTCCTATTATTTTGTTTTCCTGCAGAAATACATGTATTTGTAACAACTACTGGGATATACAGTGAAATCCTTTCACTTGTGTCTGTAACACATGCTGGCCTTTTTTCCTTTATGAGGTGTTTTACTCTGCATGATAAATTTGTATGATAAATGTTATGGATTCAAAGGTTGGGCTGGAAAAATAATAATTTTAGAAGTGATAAAAGCATATGGAAAATTATCTACAGCACCTACAAACAACTATTATTCACACTTAATTATAATGTTATAACTACATAACAAATTAAGAATAATCCAAAATGTCACTATTTCTTCAATTCCCGTTTCAATATTTTCCCACTGGCTGTCTTGGGAATCTGTTCAATAAACTCCACACCACCTCTAAGTTTCTTGTGTGGAGAAACTCTATCAGCAACATATTCAATGATTTCTCTCTCAGTTATATCTCCTTTTGGGACAATGAATGCCTTAGGGAGTTCCCCTGCTTCCTCATCAGGAATTCCCACCACTGCAACATCTAGAACATTTGGATGTGTGTGGAGAAGTGCTTCCAGTTCTGCTGGGGGAACCTACAAACAATGAAAATCAACAGGTCTGTTGTCAAACCAGAGAAATGAAATATATGTCCAAGCCTACAGGGAATATCTTTACTGTTTATACACAGTGGTCCATTGTTTCCGGTTCAGGTCATAACAAAGAACCCACTTCAAATTTGCCTCACTCCCAATACGTGGTTTCATAGCTGAGTTGGTAATAGCTACCATCTAGTATCAAGGGACGGGGAGGGCAAGGAAGGGGGGAGGGAGAGGGGGAGGGGGAAGGTACAGATTCAATTCACAGAAAAGTTCTTTCAAGTTTCCTGTGAAGAACTAATCCTCTTCCCTCTCTCCCCTCCCTGCTTCCAAGCTGGGCTGTCAATAGGACTCACTCTGAGTGGAGAAGTCAACTCTCCTTGGTGTTAAACAATTTAAAGTTCAATCTTATCATATCACTACTCCTCCTTAAAACTATCAAGTTATTTTAACAATACCAGTTTTTCTGTCATAAAACCCACAAATGGTCAGTTTTTTTGTTCCAAAAGTAACCATTTAAGAAGCAGATTTCCATGTCATTGTAATCTGATCAGTCAAAGATCGTGGGTGATGTCAAAATGTAGTAATGACATAACAAACCAATCAGCAACTGATCTGTCTCATACATGCTCAAGATTACCTGAAATCCTTTGTATTTAATGAGCTCTTTCAATCTATCTACAATGAAAAAATGCCCTTCTTGGTCATAGTAACCAATGTCTCCAGTGTGGAACCATCCATCGGGAGTTATACACTCCTCTGTTGCTTTAGGGTTATTCAAGTAGCCTACCCATTAAAATAAAAATTCAAAATTACTAACTGGCAAAAAACTTTGAAAGAGCTTTAACCCTCCACACCTTTAGATTAGTATGTAAATTCTCTATACTTTTCTCTTGTACATCTTTCTTAACTTAAGGTACAATCAAATTCTCTTTCTCAGCATCTTAGGAATTTAGAGATTGTACAGTATGGAGAATATGCATACTGTACAATATGCATACTTTACAATATGCATACTGTGCAATATGCATACTGTGCAATATGCATACTGTGCGATATGCATACTGTGCAATATGCATCCTGTACAATATGCATACTGTACAATATAAATATCAAATTATGAAATTGCAACGTGTTATGAATGCGAGTGTGAGACATATTGTGCGCACAAGTTCTGTCATATTACACCTCTACTCGCTGAACTACATTGGTTATCAGTGCGCTTCAGGATACATTATAAGATACTCTTGATAACTTTTAAAATTCTGCATGGCCTATCACCTAAGTACCTTTCAGATTTAATTAGTATTCAATGGCCTTCGTCCTACCATTTGAGGCGCAATGATAATGGTCATTTGCTGGAAAGACCAAGTGTGAAAACTAAGAAAACATTGGGTGACAGAGCTTTCCTGGAATAAGCTGCCAAGGTCCATGCATGAAGCAATGAATTTAGAATCTTTTAAGAATTTACTTAAGATATTTTTATTTAAGGAATCATTTCAGTTATCTTTAATTAATATATCTATTTTTTTATTTGTAATTATAATTTAATGTAAATAAATATATATATTTTATGATTTTTATAAAAGGAATTGTATAATTTTAGTTACTAATTACTGTTGTGATGCACTTTTGAATATTTTATAGAAAAGGCACAATACAAATAATAAAATTGTTATTATTGTTATTGTTATACTGATCCTAAGATCTAGAGGGTAAAGGAATATATTTAAGGCATAAATACTGTTAAGAAACTTTAATTGATTGTCCAAAGATGAATTTGAAGGCACACACACACACACTGAATTATACATAAATTCTATTTGCTTTGTAACCTTTCATAACAACAGGGCCTCTAACGCAGACTTCCCCATTTTGATTTGGGCCAAGAGGTTGGCCTGTCTGGACATCAACAACCTATGAAAAAACAAATTGTAACTTGTAACTAAAAAACCATAACTGCTCATGCAATCCTGACCTGGTAGATTACAGTCAAACCTGTAAGATGTATTAAAGAGTCAGTTGTCAAAGTCCCAAAATTCTTTCCCCTTAAACACTGTTATTTTCACCTCTATTTTTAAAAGCAGCCATGGTCACCCTTTACTGAAATATCTGCCACTCCTGTTGGGTGACCGCATAATACAGACCTGTTCAGCTATATTCTAGAATTTTGCATTTACTTGTTTTAATTGTCTAAAATTATTTGCAAAAAAAAAAGTCAAAATAAAATATAGTTCCAAGTTTGTAATGTTACTGTAATTAGTAGGTTAGGAATATTCCAAAACCCTGAGTTAAAGCAAGTTAGAGCTCTTCAATCCAGGGGTGTGTTATGGTTTTTAGAGAGGTGCCAATGTGGAGAAACAAATTAAAACTTATAGTCGCCACTTGCAAGGTTAAATTCTGGTTAAGAAACAAGTACCCTATTAATTTTTACTTACTTTCCCTTCAATGTTTGGTAGCATAACACCCACAGCACCAGGCGTGCAATCCTCTCTTGGACAAAGCATTACAGCTGGGCTTGTTTCTGTTAGACCGTATCCTAAAATAGCATGATGAAACAAGTGAAATAAGAAGTGATATACGGTATGATAAATGTAAATTAGCCACTATATATAAAGAGTTTCAATAGCAGATATTATGAGCATAAGCCCTTTGTCAGATTATGATGCTTGAAAGTAGCCCTTTCACTCTGATGAAGGGCTAATAACACTCAAAACATCATCTTTAGGAAATCTCAAAGGTTTGTGATTTAAGCTTTCCTCCTGTTCTCCAAACATAAAGCATGCAACAAAATGAATTTAGAATTATGTCAAGGACTGCAGTTTCCCTTGACAATATTTTTCACCTTGACCAACGACTGCCACTTTTGGAAGACGTTTCCAAACTGCATTGGTGAGTTCTAGTCCTAATGGTGCAGCACCACTGATGATGGTAGTCACACTGCTTAGATCATAGTCATCCACCGAGGGATGCTTCGCCAAGAATGTAACAATGGGTGGCACAAGATACAAAACATGTATCTAAAATAACAATTGAAGAAAATTAGGAGTTTTATTTGTTACATTTTGTGGAAATGTTCAACTAGAATATAATTTGTGCATAGATCAATTCAAAGCTTCAACATTGCCCCCCCACCCCTTCCCCTCCTCTTTCCAGTAACCTCCCAGGTACCCATTTCAACTTTTGAAGATTAGTTTATTCAAATTCTTGTCCCACACAGACGACATTGTGTTGACGATCAGGAACAGGGATGGCATTATAGTGATGAGAGCACTTGTCTCCCACTGCTGTGGCCTGGGTTCGATTCCTAGACCTGGGGTCCCATGTGGGTTAAGTTTGTTGTTGGTTCTTGTCCTTGCCCTGAGAGTTTTTCTCTACATCCTCTGGTTTTCCTCCCTCCACAAAAACCAACATTCCAAATTCCAATTTGATCTGGAAACAGTGGACAAGAAGAGCCACCTAGTGGAAAGTCCATTGCTAAATTATTTACCAGTATTTATGAACTACCCCACCCAAATACCAGATTTGATGGTCAATTTTTTTTTGTAAAAGGCAAAATCAGTGAGCATTTCCTGAGGCATTCACTCAGACACCTCTATATTAAAAGATAACACACTTGTTAAATACTTGACACTTCAGCTTCAAATCGCCCACCCCAGCCAAGTTGAAGACAATGTAGAAATAAGGTTGAAACAGCATTACATTCACACAGTGCAATTCTCTTTTGTGTCAAACTCTTTAAACTCTAACATCAGTGTGCATTAACATTATTCTGCATACTGTTGTCCCGATACACTTCTTCCGGTTCAGACAAGGAGAATTTGTTTGACAATCAGGAGTTTCCTACTAGATAATTTGGTGATCATTTTGTCTATTCTCATTACCTTCATATTTGACGTAGGGGTGATAATGTCAGGAGAAATTAGGTGCTGGTCAGTTGACAAGGTTTAAAGGGTTCACAAAGTCGGGTGAAAATGAGATATTTTTAAAAAAAGAATTAAATGAATAAAGCAAAGTGTTAAGCAGACTCAGTGGAATGCAGGGAAGTATCTTTGACCACTTGACTGAATTAACATATTATAAAAAAGACAAATAAACAGGACTGCTTCAGTGTAACTGAGTCTTCTGGACTATACTGTCTCATAACTTATCAGATCTTTTGGTGAATATAAGTACTGCTGAGCATTTTTAAATGCTCAATTTTTAAATGCTCATTAAAATGAATTATGAGGTATTGTGATGACCCAACAAGGCTAGTCAGACTACAAAAAAGAAGTAATTTAAGTACTCTGTGATACTGTACACTAAAATTTCTAATAAATCATTTAATATTCAACTGCTTTATTTTAAATGCATTTCTTACAAGGCAGGAAAAGTGAAATAGATGGAGATAAGGTCACCTAAGTGGGGACTCTAGACATAAAGGGCTAGGGTTATTGAGGCTAAAGGCAGTGTAGCATTTTGAAACCTGGGAGGACTTAACTTTCACTCACCCATGAACATACCCCTACTCAAATTAATTTACTAGGCACCCTGTCTAGTTTAATAGAAAACTACTGCAGTTGATAAGCTTCTACAACACAAAAAGGTTTGTGGAAAGATCACGAGATTAAATAATTTGTCAATTTTTATGCTGCCTCAGCAGCATTTTTGGTACCATATCATGGGGGGGCTATGACCCATTGCCCCCTTACCCCTCTCCCCCATCTGCTGCCTATGACTGAGGGTAAAACAAGGCTGCACTTTAAGAAAAATTGAAGGGAGCCCAGTGCTCTGAAACTGTGAAATCCAGGGTGCCCAGTATATGCTTTTTATGAAAAAACTTCAATTCCTGAGTCACCCAAGAGCAAAACTAAGACACCAGGGACAATCAGGTGCTGCTAGACCACAGCCCTGTAAGACTTCCAATGCTACAGTAAATGTACGGTGAAAATCTGGTGCAATGTGATTTTGCCCTTGTCAAAAAGGGTAGTTGTCAAACTCATTGAGACTCAAATTTACTAAGTAAACATATTAATTGTTTTGCATGCACTAATGATGTAATATAGTGCATTAGCTGTCACAGTTCTGCGATTTCAGAAACCCACCTGGCAATCTTGTATAAGCTTTAGCATGTGCTCTCCCTCAAATTTCTGCAAGCAGACAATTTTACCTCCACGGTAAAGATGTTGTAGCATTAGTACCACCATGCCAAATATGTGGAAAAAGGGCAGAAGTCCAAGAGTTGTAGCTTCTTGTGGTTGAGACATAAAATTCTCATGCATGAGAATACACAATTGTGAGACTATGTTATGATGAGTGAGCATAACTCCTTTAGGGAAACCTGTGGTTCCGCTAGAATACGGCATAGCACAGATGTCTTCTTTCGGATTAATTGCAACATTATCTGGGAAGGCCATTCCATCATCACTGAGTAGAGATGCCAATGGTTCACACCCTTCTGCTTCACCAATCACAAACACTTCCTTAATTCCTGCCTCTGTTGCAGCTTGTCTAGCTTTGTCTGCGATCTCAGGTACAGTCAGAATGAATTTAGCACCAGAGTTTTGAAGCTGGTAAGCAATCTCCTTTTCTGTGAAGGTAGGATTTAAAGTTGTAACTGTCCCACCAATTGCGATGACTCCAAAAAATGAAACAGGGTACTCTGGGACATTTGGAAGGTAGAGAGCAAAAACGTCTCCTTTCTGAAAACCCCTTCTTGTTAGTGCTGAAGCAAACTTTTTCACCGATGTACTAAGTTCATTGTAAGTGAAGGATTTCTCAGAGACTCCATCGATCTAAAAAGAAGTTCAACATTTAAGAATGCAAATAGATACTAAATTTACTGATAAGTTCTTAGCTTGAATAGCTGGATCAACACTTCTGTTTGGTAGGAGNTCTAGGCTTGCAAAGTTGACATCAGGATCTCCGAGATCAACAAACCCAATTAATTCTCCGGTGAATTTGTCAAAAACCAGGTTTGAGGTGATCTTCATTTCGTCAAAGAGCAACACCACATATCTTTGGACATCAAAATAGCTCTGTGACTGTACAATTAGCTCCTCAATGACATCCTCATGGAATCCAGTGCGTGGGCGAATACAGTTCCTATAGTCTCTTAGTGTTCTTTGGCTTGGCAGCCTTAAGATCTTACTCTTACGCAATTCCTCATAACAAGAAGGGGATTTTGCAGCAAGTGATAAACAAAAGCGAACTATCATAGGATGATACTTCACTCCAGTGGTACTGGCAGATAAGATCTTTTTTTGTTCCTGCCAAAAGAGATTCATAAATGGAGTGATATTCTCACTTGAATTGCTGAGTATCGAAGTTATGTCCCTACTCAGTTCATCATCAACTTTAAGACTGGATTTCTGGATTTCACATCTCATGTTGTAAAGCTGCTTTTCAAGTTCAGCACATTTAAGTCTTTGAAGTTGTAATGTCGCCATAATTCTTTGAGGAGATGTTTTTGAAACAGGTGCAAACAGATGTGCTGGTTCAGCTAGTTTTCGGCATTTTGCATTGTCAGAAAGTGTTTGCTTATGTTGAAAACTACAACAGCTTGGGCACTGATCATCTGTTTCGCACAAAACAGAACAATTACAAGTTCTCCAAAACTCTTTGCATGGGAATGAATCTTCGCCATCATCAGAATCAAACAAGGGATCTCTTGGCTTTGAAATAACATGGTGTCTTAATTCACTAAAAGAAGCAGTTGGCTTAACACCAGGGCAAACAAACAACACTTCTGTACTCTTAATAAGTTCAGATACTGTAATATTCCTTACAGATCTCAACGTTTTCATATAAAGTTCATGATCGTCAGGCAGTAGCCATCCAGACACAGAGATAGTGAAGCCCAAGCTGTCATCGATCATTATCTGAAGTTCAGGTAGTAGAGCAGTCGTGACTTTCTTTAGCACAATCCTATCGCTCAGTTCTTCTAGAGTCCAATCTTTAATGGATTTCAAGGCCTTTAGTCTTGATACCAAGTCTTTGAAGCTTTTATAATACTTGGCATTTTGTTCAGGAGCGACATCTTTGACTACCGATCTTGCAGCTCGTGTCTTCACTGGTTCAGTTTGATGCGACTTCTTAGGCATATTTAAAGTAGGTATAGCGCCAAATCTAGGCTTAGTCTTGACCATCTTCTCGGTTTCAACTGAAAAGTACAAAAACATAAGTTATCATTAAAGAGAAATGCTGTATATAAAGAGTTAGGGACGCACACTTTATCAACAAACAGTCGCGAGCCTTCGCTTAGCCTACTAAAAGTCCCACTAACTATACACTAACTATACACTAACTAAGTTACTGGGACCAGTACGCCTGCCACCAAAAGTCAGCAGCTCAGCTACTCAAGGCTTGTTCCCGTGTCAATGGACCAATAGTTTGAGAATAAATAGGATAGGGGGGATTAAGTTTATTTATCGTAAAAGTTAGATAATCGAGGCAAAGTAAGCTTATGTTTTTCTTACGAATCTCGACTCTCGACCAGTCTTGTAAGGAATAATTCTCTTCGGATCAGAGATTCTTTTTTTGTGTACCCAGTTCTTTCAACGAAACGGGTATGGGTCATGTGAATTTTGTTAAGTGCGAGATGTCAACAAAATATGCAAATAACATGAAGATGAACAGTTGCCGCGAAAATTTTCCCGGGGGATAAGCCCAGGTACTAGATTATAATACCTTTCTGATTTATCAACTTTTATTTGAAGTTACGTTTTTATTAAAAACTCAGACGCTTTTGGATATTTTAAAAATATTTTAGGTAAAATGTTCGACATCAGTTTAGTCAAAGAAAAGAAAAAAAATGTTTTTTTTTCTGCCTCTAAGGGTGAGAAGTAACCTTATGATTCGGGTCGATACTGGTTCCTTCGGGTTGTAATTAGCCTGCAGAGCAGGCGTAGTCTGGACGAGAGAGCGCTCAGTATTTTCTTAGCGTAAAATGGCCGCCATAGTTGATTTTTATGACAGCGAAAGGGTAGGAAGAGAAAGTAATTTCAACTAAGAGAGTGAGTGACGGTCAAAAATATGGAGAGGGGGCTGGGGTTGGGGAGTGAATATATTATCTTGCCCTTCCCCCACCCCCTACCCCTATCGTCCACTCTGACTCTAAATCAAACATTGTGTTCAGTTCGTTTAAGAAATCACGAGCTTATAGCGTTAACACGCCCTAATAAGTCGCCTGCACAGCAAGCGAGGTTGTATTTAATAGTCCGTGTTTGTGCTCGCTACAGGGACAGGGAAAAATATTTTAAATGATTAGTACTCTTTGCCTTCACTTATTTTGTTACTCTACATCATGTTAAATAAGAGACAAGAATCACGTTCATACGATGACGAATGTATCATTGCGTCACAGTAAACCAAACTGCCTACGATGTATTCCAGATAATTAGTTTCCTAGTCGTTCGTTTTTAGACCACAAAAAGACATTCTTGATCTGTAAGATTTAATAATCCGTGCATTTCTCTTTCTCGCTTAAACGAGTTGAAATATGATCGTTGGAGGCCTGGGAAAGAACTTTGCCTTCCACTCGTCCCCACGAGCTGAATACCGATTCAATGCAAGATTCAGTGCTTTGCTCTCGGTTGACCGATTGTTATGCATGAATCAGAAGGATTAATCATGAGGATGAAAATATAGTCGACTCTAGGAACTTCCAGGGAAATTGGAAAAGGTGCGAGTTATCGGGAGGTGAGTTCGAGTTGTCAGAAGGTCGAGTTCTTGGAATTTGAACATACAGGCACTGCAGTTAAATGTACCCTTCACTAGTGAACCCTGAACTAGACTGTTATGTTTCCTGCAATAGGAAGAGATTACATGAATGTTTCAAAATAAATTACAAGAAAAGTTTTGGACCGCAGTTCACTGTAGAATCACTTTGGTTCGACAATTATCGAGGGTAAAGATTTATAGAGAAGGACCTGAAGGGAAACGAGAATTTCTGCGAGTGAGCAGGATGTTCGAGTTAATTATCGAGGATTCAGGTTACCGAACGAAAATTGCAGTACGTCATGTTTCACGGTAACCCGGGAGGATGTCGGTTTTAGTCCGAGCTGAGTTGGCGCGAGGTTCAAGTTAGCAAGGGATAGGACTATCGGAGGTCGACTTTACGTACGATTTACGAGAAAGGGGCACAACCGGTCAGTTCAAACTCTTTCGAAACTCAAAAAAAAAAAAAAAAATGTACAAAAAAGCTTCAACTACATGCAAAGCAAACCAAATACAGTGTACGGTATAAGACGTACATTTAATGTTCAACATTCAACATCAATCTCTTACGAAAAGGGCAACACTAAATACAGCAAGGTTGATGAGCATGCGTGGAGAGAGAAATTCATGAAATGATTCAAGGATACTTAAAGACCTTTTTAGTGTAAATAATCAGCTGGGACCATATAGCCTACGTAAATATGATTTGAATAAGTAAAAGCTTGTTCATCCCTGGGATATCGTTTCCCTGTGTAACAAGCTGGTACATCCCTGAGATATCATTTTCATGTGTAACAGATCATAGTACTCCCCTGAGATACAGTTTCCCTCTGAACAGCTGAGAAACCCCTGGGATATCGTTTCTATACATTCTCTATGATTAGCTCCTAATACAGCCAAGCCAACACGAAAGTAGTGCTACTAAAGAGGAACAAGCCAACAGAATCTTTGCTGGCTGAGTCGTTCGGCGATGTAGTTGGTTTATACATAACAGTGGAAGCCGAGCCATCAGAGTGATTCATTTGGATCACCGGGAGGTTCAGCCCTTTAAATCGGAATTCTCCCAGGCTTGGGATGGGATTTTGGGCTTTAAATACACCTTCCATGGTGTGATTTATCCGGAAAATGTCTACGGCTGGCTGTGTTGGTAGATTGTTGTTTATAAACTGCTGCCCGCTATCTGTGCCTGAGTCATACGGGGGTAACATGGTGACATTCCAGGTCTCTCGCCATTGTCCATTGTCACAGAGATCATGGCTGTCAATTCCTACGAACCAATCGGGGGATGGAGCAAGCATGCTGATCAGAGACACCCTGGAAAAGTTGGAGGTAACGTTGACTTGAATATTGTTTAGTTCACCTACTGCACCGAGCCCAGACCTCGGTAGGATGAGCTGCCAGGCCTTTCCATCAGAGATTTGAGACTCTATTTCGCTTCGGAGGGTTCCAGTTTGACCTAAAAAAAAGACGTAGTGATTTAAAATTTGGCCGATTTTGTTGTTGTGAGCCTCCTAAATACTTAACCAACCTTTAGGAGTTCATTTCAAAGGTGTTATTCTGCAGTAAAAAGGTCGCTACTTTACCATGACATTTCATTGCCAGTTTGAGCTAGAAGAATGAAACAACTGATAATAAAAACTAAACGGGGTCGATCTCTCTTGCCATCATTCTCTCGTGATACAAGCATTAATCAGTCAAGTTTTGATGGAGCGGTTACTCTCACGATTCTGATTAACTTGGACAAAAAGCATGAAGTTAAATAGATTCAGTGTAATTGCTCCGTTGATTATAGGGGAATCCTTGTTTACAATATTTGCCTTATTAGCATAAGCAATTCAATTTCTGATGGAGCTAAAAATAAATCAGTTCTGAATATCGAAAGGTCAAAGTACGATTAACTCGGCCAATGAATACGAGCGTGATGCATTGAATACTTTTTGGGCAACACGGGTTTAAAAACTCAAAATTTTACATAGAATGTATGAGCTCATTAGCGCTTTTGCCACCCAGAAATTTTGCAGTTTTTGATAGACTATTTCTCCTTGAATATTACACCCAAAGAGCTAAAAAAATCACCATGTACTAAGGTTTTCTTGCTCTTTAGCTGCCTGAAGTCAATTTGTATCTAACATGCTTCCTTCTCTACGCAAAGCGGTATGCAAATGAGCAAAAAAGTAAACAATGACGTCAGCATGAATCCGCCTATAGAGCTGCGCCTTCGGCAAATATGTGTTAAATATTCCATGACGCAATTCGGTATTGCCTCGGGCTCTGAATAACGTGAATAGTTTTAAATGCTTTCCTATAGTTTTGGACGACCGGCATTTTTGAAAATTAATTTTTTCTGGGAATACGTTTATAGATGAGAAGCTTCCAAATGAGTAAAGCCACTAAACGACGTAGAGAAAAAGATCCGCATCGTTCAAAAAAAGTATGATCATGATCATACGAAATTTTGTTTAGCGAACAACATAATATAGTGTTACAACTAGCCGTGGTCACAAAAGTTAACGTGTTTTCAATGGAAATTTGGAAATGTTTTCCTATAGTTTTGGACGACCGGCATTTTTGAAAATTAATTCTTTCTGGGAATACGTTTATAGATGAGAAGCTTCCAAATGAGTAAAGCCAGTAAACGACGTAGAGAAAAAGATCCGCATCGTTCAAAAAAAGTATGATCATGATCACACAAAATTTTGTTTAGCGAACAACATAATGTAGTGTTACAACTAGCCGTGGTCACAAAAGTTAACGTGTTTTCAATGGAAATTTGGCCGTCAACAAGGTTTATTCAGTTGTTTAATATATGAGAAAACGGATTGTTCGAATTCTACATCGAATAAAAAATAACCAACTGAAAAATTCACTTTCTAACCTCTTTCAGCGACCAATTTTACGCCAGGAGAAGCTTTCTGTCCTCTTCGCCACATGATGTAGTCAGCGCTGTGAGAACAACCTATCAAATCCGAAAAATGTGCATTGCTTGGAAGGTCTGTCATCGGATGATTTTCTTTGGTCCAATCAGCTTTCCACGACAACTTATATGTGGCCGTCCCAGGACATTTAACGGCATTTGACGAAAGCACGAAAACGCTTAGAACAGCCAAGAGAGAACCTATCTGTTGTACCATCTTTTAAGACTGAATTCGTACTTGACTCCGCGAACCGTTTATACCTTGCCCAGTTCAGTTCAGTGAAACAATATCTTAGCCTTTAAACAATATCTTAGGCTGAAACAGGCCTTTTTATATATAAGTGATCAGATATGATGAACATCAGTGATAATGACTCTGCAAATTATATATTTGGAAATACGTGATATAAGGTGGGTAAAATAGTTGGACTGGAAACAGTTCCTTTGCTGCTTATATTGTAAAATTCGCCGACTGTGTTTCTTTTTTTACCAGCCAATCGTTATAATGGTGTCATAGGAACCGTGAGGCGTGTAAACATAACAATTCGCAGCTGGCTCACGAATGAGTTGTCTTCTCCTTCCCCTTTCCGCTTGTCATCGGTTAAAAATGGAAGAGGAAACCGCGTCCAATTTAAAGAAAGAAAGAAAAAATAGGAAAACAATCAAATAACAGGAAGTTCCTTTGACGTAAATGACAGAAACGATAAGACAATTTGAATAAGCAAAGCCCAGTTCTTTGCTTCTAAATTTGACGTCAAAGATACATTTGTGTTTAATATTCAAATAAGCCTCCATCCAAAGCTGTGATAATTTGTGCTTTATGGATGGTGAATAGCCTTTCCAAGAACTAAGGGTCCTGCAACTGAATGTTGAACACAGTTTGAACTCTCCTGCACTTCTAGCTTTTGAACATTTCTCTCAGTCTCAAAGAAAACGTGTTTTTTCCTTTTCGAATTCTCGATTTTCAAACAAACATGTGGGGAAATTTAAAGAAAACGACAAAATATTTGAGTTTAAAAGATATGTTTCGACAGAAACCTCTGTCATCGTCAGTTGATTAACAAAGCGTTACAAGTTAAATTTATAAGTGTTCACCAGAAAAACAATTTATTCTATTTTACCCGATTACAAGACCAGACCTTAAGCGAACCACACTCTCCGAGGAACGAAGAAAACTTAATACGAACAGAATACTAAAATATAACTAATATGTACAAAAAGGGTAGATCGCAAATAGCACAAAAGGATCTCGTAGTGCAAAGAATTCTAATGAACGCCATGATCCTACTGATTAACGCGATTGTCTCCTGTTCACACACTAATTAGCGCAATTGTCTCCTGCTCAATAAGTACATGCTAATTAAGCTAGTAACAACAGAAAACGTGACAATGTGAAAATTATAAGGATAGCTTTAAAAGAAGCTATTCATATTCAAAGAGAACAACCTTCTTTGAATCAACAATTACATCATGTAAATCTAAAGCTATCCTTATAATTTTCACATTGTCACCTGGTCTGTTGTTATTAGCTTAATTAGCATGTCGAACTCAAAAGTTTTGTCGTTTTCTTTAAATTTCTGACTTGCCTGCTGACATCAAGATCATTTGAGAACCTGTGGGGGTTCATTACAAGCTACTTAACAATTGCAAAATCACAACAAAAAGCAAAACAAAACAAAAATCCCGAAACAATTGACACTTGACGTTATTTATGTTTAGCGTGCGTATACGTATATCGAGTTATGGATGCACGTGGAAAATTGGGAAGGCACGAGAGAAGCGTAGCTTCTTGAGTGCTTCGCAACCTTCCGAAGTGCATCTATAACTGGATATACGCACAGCTAAGGGAAAGTACGTTTTTTATTAGGGGGGGTAGGCCGAGGTATTTCAGACATTTTTTGCCAAGAAAGTCGTGGCCCTCCCACTTTCCAGATTGGATTAATGCATGACCCTTCATAAATGCCTAAACAAAAAGGATCTGACCGTCCCCCCACCTCTTCCAAGACAAAAATAACCGGAAGTGAAAATAACTGAGCGGAAGTGTTGCTCACATAACCGTGTCTGCGCACAAAGCAGTTAATTGCGTGGCGTTGCACGGTGAAAACTTGAAAAACGGGCAAGGATGTGCGAGGAATAAAAAGAAGAAAATGCGCTTGTGGAGAATGCGAGGATTTCATGAGGTCAGATGGTAGGCCTAGTCACAAGTTGCCGATGAATCCCAAAAAAGTTGCCGATAAAAGTGTCTAAAAGTTGCCAAAAAGTAACTATTTTTTTCAAAAAGTTGCCGAAAAGTTGCTGAATTTCCAAAAAGTTGCCGAAAAGTTGCCAAAATTTTTCTGCTTTTCGTACGTTTTATGGGTGTAAAAGATTAAAAATTCGCACATTGCTTCTTATCAAAACTTTATTTGTCAAAGTCCAATGATAATATCAGAGGTTCTTTCTATTTCACTCACTGTAATTGTCCGCCATCTTGAAAAACGTGCAACGTGATACCGCTGACCTCGTGATAAGGCATCACAAAAATCAACCCATGGAGGGGGCCCCAATTATTGTATTTTAGAATAAATTGAATAAATCTCTATCGAAAACTGACCAATGTGGCTCAAAACGTGAATAAAGTGGCTTCAGAGAACCTCAAAAAGCCAAAAGTTGCCGAAAATTCTAAAAGTTGCCAAAATTCTAAAAAGTTGCCGAAAATCTCAAAAGTTGCCGAAAATTTGCCGAGTAACTTGTGGCTAAGCCTATCAGATGGAGTAGCTCAAGTGACGAATCGTCACCGGACACTAATTTTATACCAGAGCCCCACGCGAAAACATTACCGACGTCAAAATATGGACGAAAGCGGGCACGGGTCGAGAGAGACAATTTACGTTAGTTGGCACAAGATAGTTTTTTGACATAATATTTCGACATCTATTTAAAATGATGTAAATTTATTTAGACTGGTAGCTTTTGCTTGTATATATAAGTTTTAGGTTCTTATACACTTCGCGTGTTTGGTAACAAATAATTAAAAGTTAACTAACCGACATGGAGTAGTTTTTTCCTTGCCAAAAGAAAAAATGTGATCCTCCCCCGGCTGCGTATCAAACAGGTTTGACCCTCCCCAATTTGTAAAATATTTACTAATGACCCTCCCCTCCGAAGCCCCGGCCCCCCCCCCCCCCCCCCCAATAAAAACGTACTTTCCCTAAAAGAATAAACCAAGTCTTCGGGCTGTAAACATAGCATGCAGACAAAAGTTGTGCACGAAAAAGAGTCCATTACAACTACAACTGTGTTAGGTTTGCATAGGTAATTTGGGATAATTCAGCACGAATAAATCTTTCAAAGGCTAGTCAAATTGCACGAGCCCGTAGGGCTAGTGCAATTTAAACTCTTTGAACAATTCACGTGATTACTAGTCAATAATAATGTAAAAGTAAGCATGAATCTGTTTTCCTCTTTAGCTGTGTTTATTCCGTGTCATGGCTCACAGGTTCGCCGCTTGCCTTCGCCTTGTTGCCGGAGTAGTTGGGCTTTTTCAAGCTTGCTTCAAGCTTTTAAATTCTCTTTCAATAATAATGGAGTGTTTCTACTCTTTTTTTGTTAGTTATCGTTCGAGGGAAGTAACCATTACACGAAAACTATCGCGCTCGCTGGATAATATAATATTCCCGGTCTCTCTTACGGATTACGTAAAACTCCTCAAAAATTTTACTCAGGACTTCCGGTTCGTACTTTCATAGCCGTGTTTGGGAGCCGAAAGGCTTCCAGACTTTCAGCCTTTTTTTTGTCCTTTGTTGGATGTTTTTGTTACGAACATTCTCCCCCAAATTCTGCATTAAAATGTTAGAACTTTCTTCTCATTTTTCCGCCATATTTGTTTTGTTGTGTTTTCGCGACTTCCCTATCAATCAATTTAATTTCAACTTTCTGTATTGTTTGAGATTAATTGACGTGTTTTCGGCCAATAAGCATGCTAATATTTTTTTGCATGTCTGTTATTAACCAAGTAATCGTGTTCTAACCAAACACTATGAATTAATAACAAATATGACAAAAACGACCACAAAATATTCGAGACTTAAGCTTTATTCAAAGAATTGTAAATTTTTTGCCTAGAAGCGAAAAACGAACGAATTTCTTGGATGTACGAGACTGCGTTATAGATTCGGCATGCTTAAATCGTTGTTTACTTCAATTCAAGGCCAGAAAATTCCGTGGGCTTGTGTTCAAAATTTTGATAATTCTGAAATTGAATGATTTTGCAAGTCTTCCACGGGTTAATACTTTTAGCGCATATCAGCAATTAAAATAATTTTAACTGTTCAAAAAACAACACAAAAAAAAAACTACGAACTTCTTTCATTTACGAGACCCTCGAAGTAGTTTCACTATGCTTGAATTGTCGTTTGCTAGAATTTACAATCAGAGAATTGCGTAGCTTTGTGTTGGACATTCTGAAAATTCTTGTGAAATATATGAAAATCATATATATAAACCGCAGTTAAAGAAATTAGGGGGAGATCGATCTTCGCAGAAATCAACACTACCAGCAGTTGTAAAAATAAAGCCTTAAAGAAGATTCAGGTTTGTCATGAGGTGATTTGAACCCACGACCTTTGCGATACCGGTGCAGTGCTCTATCAACTGAGTTAACAAGCCAATTGAGAGGTAATTTTTGCGTTAGTTCGTATTAAACCCGTGAAGTGGTGATTCAACGCTTGTGAATATATGAAAATCACATATATTAACTGCAGCTTTATTTAACTCAGGCCTTATTTTCACTACTGCTTTTAAAATAATGTTCATTCCTGGGAAGATCGATCTCACAGTAATTCTGAAAATTGTCCAATTTGAAAAAAAATCTTCGATTGAACAACGTTACAGAAGAAGGAACTTTTTTTTTTTTTTATAAAATCGCACCAGAGAATTCTGAAAAGTGAACATCCCACGCAGTAAAAGGTAAGCTGTTCGTAAACATTTTTCCCGCGCATTTAAAAATATTTGAAGTATAATAAATACAAGCCTGAGAGCCGTGTTTGTCGAAGTAGAAAAGAAAGCATGAAACAAAGTTAACGGTATGGTAAAAAATTGCAAAAGCAGGTATCACCGTGAACTCTTAGAGGAGACTGTGGGTTCACCTAACAAATTTTGGTCAGCTATTAAAAAACTATACCCTACAAAGTCTACAAAGGAACCAGGAGCAGCTTTTCTCGTTAATGGAGCAGTAGAAACCGACAAAGAGGTTATTGCAAATTCGTTCTGCAAATTCTTCACTGATGTTGCGGGATCTCTAAAAAGAAAGATCTTCCCTCTTTGTAATTTTGTCTGGAAAAGGCCCCTTACAATAGACACTCAGCAGCCGCTAGAGAACTTTGAGTTTAGATCAGTCTCGGATAAGGTTGTCTTTAATGCATTAAAGAGCCTTAAGAGAAATAAGTCCTCTGGCCTTGACAACTTTCCTTCTGGAATGTTAAAGGACTCTGCTGATATAATAGCCAAGCCTCTCACGCATATAATTAACCTGTCTCTCGCAACAGGGTCTATACCTACTGACTGGAAAGCGGCTAAAATTGTACCACTTTTTAAATCTGGTTCAATGGCCGAAATCGACAATTATAGGCCTATTTCAATACTTCCTTCAATGTCAAAGATCCTGGAGAAAGTGGTATTTAAGCAGCTGATGGCTCATTTTGAACAGAATGGTCTACTTTCTCATTTTCAGTACGGCTTCCGTCGCATGCGCTCTACTGAACTGGCCGTTACTCATCTAACCGATGTTATCAGAAGAGAAGGTGAGAATGGTAACCTGACAGGCTGTGTTTTCATCGATCTATCAAAGGCGTTTGACACCATCAGTCACTCTGGCCTCCTGAGCAAGCTTTCAACTTACGGAGTTCGTGGAACAGAACTCGCATGGTTCACTGATTACCTTTTCTGCAGATCACAAGTTGTCCAATATAAAGGCGTGCTATCAGAACCTCAACCCATTCTCACAGGTGTTCCTCAGGGAAGTATCCTGGGTCCTATCTTATTCATTATCTTTTTCAACGATGTACATAAACCGCTTCAACACTCGAAGATTATCACTTATGCCGACGATTCAGTCATCTATACCTCTTCTAAAGATATTGATACTATACAGAGAAGCCTTAGCGAGGATATGAATAACCTGTGCGAGTGGTTTAAAGACAACGAACTGATCATTAACCTAAAAAAGGACAAGACGGAGTCTATGTTATTTGGAACAGCTAAAAGAATCAACCTTCAAGACAAGGAACTTAAACTTTCTGTTAATGGGACACTCATCAATAACACCTCTACCTATAAGTACTTAGGTGTTCACCTTGACTCATCACTAAACCTTGCATCACATTTTGACCGAATCTATAAAAAAGCTGCAACCAGAATTAATCTCTTGCGATCAATTCGTCCTTTGATCGACCAAAAGTGTGCAGAATCGATCTATAACACTATGATCGCACCTATTTTTACCTATTGCGGAACACTTGGTCTTAGCTTTCCGGATTAGCGAAAGGAAATGATAAAGAACATCGAACGACGAGGCTTTAAAGTTATTGGCAATAGTTCTTTTAATCCCCCATCCGTGAACAATTTGATCAAGCGTAAAAGCTGTTTGTTTGTTTTCGACTGTCTCCTGAATAATGTTTGCACACCCTTTAAGAACTACTTCGAAAGACTGGTTCATTCTAAGGCCACTAGGAATAACGGTATATCAGTAAAATTACCCAAAGTACGTTTAGAATTTGGTAAAAAGAGCTTCTATTACCAAGGAGCAAAGACTTTCAACAACCTGCCTGCTGAACTAAGGTCGTTAGATTCGAGACTGAAATTTAAGAACAAATTGCGAGATTATTTTAGTTAAAAATTCGATCTAAACGTGGTTATAGGTATCCTTTTTCAGAGCATTTTATTCTATTGTATGCTTTTCTAGACCTTAAGATTAATGATTATATCTTGTTAAGTTTTATTTTATTTATTTATTTATTATTTTGACAGGACCCCAAGGACAACAGTGTTACAAACTGATGGGTTTTTCAATCCTGTATAAAAATTCGTTATTATTATTATTATTATTATTAAGAGGTGTCGTGGGTTAATCTGTCTATTCTTGGCTTATAACATACTGCGGGTGCGATTCCTACGTAATTCTTAAAGAGTACTGGCCTCCATTTGCGCCAAAGTGTGCATGGATATTTATGCGCCGACATTATCTGTTCCGAGATGCGAACAGTTATCCGAGAGCCATGCACCGTTGCCATGCCAAAAACCTCTGGCAAAACGGAAAATCATGAAATAGGTTTCTCTATTTTGCAAGAAAAATTTATAGATGGGAAGAGGGGTGGGGTGGGGGGGTTCAATCCCTTTTAGGATGGCAATGGGATAGAGGATATGCGTGTAATCGACCGAGCTCCATCGGTCAAGATGGCTACAGATTGACCAAATATTACATTTTAATTCACCTAGGCAAAGTCGCTGCAAAACGAGGAAAGTAATTAAAGGTTTTATCCAATGATTAACGATCACAACGAAAAATATTTGCAATGCACTGTAGGCAGCAGGAAGCATTTCAAAGACTTTGACAAGTAAAAGCTTGTTTATCCCTGGGATATTGTTTCCCCATGCAGCAGTTGGTACATCTCTGGGACATCATTTTCATGTAGTCTAGCTCTTTAAAATCTTGTCTATCCCTGGGATATTGTTTCCCCGTGTAACACTTGGTACATCCCTGGAACATTATTTTCATGTAGTCTAGCTCTTTGATTAGTTTTCAACTCACAACAACCAAGCCAGCATGAAAGTAAATGCTTATTGTTAAAAGACAAAATTGTAACCAAGCAAGAATGTTCATTAAATGTGCTTTTAGATTTACTTGAGTATTAAGAAAATAAATGGAAATAACATGTTTCAGCAAAAGCCATTCAATTAAGAAAAAATAAGCAGTTGACAGTTTTCTATTTTAATGGCGATCTTACTTTGCAAGTAGGGTAATTGTTACCTTTTCCTTCTGAGAGAAAATAGTACATTTTTCTTAAATTTTGATTTGACACCTTCAACACCTCTTTCTTTAATTAAGGTGAGTTGAAGAGCAAACAATTTATACTTTTCATTTCCGCACTGAATTTTAAATTACATAACTTGTTGTAGCTTCTCTGGGGGCGGTACTTGTGTACGCCCTTTCTTCTCCGAATTTTCTGTTTATTCTGTTGTTATGTAACAGCCTTCTAAGGGTATTTTCTCTTAAGATATCTTTTCAAGTATGACTCTAATTCTGCCAATAAGTGAATTATAATTTTCATATTGTTGATCTTGTTTCTTTTTGGCCTATCTTAACCGAAAAAGTATGAAATTTTTGGTGGGTGTTATTTTGTAAGCGTAAACAACTCGAAGAAGCATACTTATTATGCGGGAACTGTTGCACGTAACTTAACGTGATTTGCTGGTTGAGATAGAAACGATGACGATCCAAGAAGATTGACAGCCTAGTAGTGTCACCTTTAGTGTCGCCTTTATAAGCTGGTAAACAGCATTTTCAGTCAGAATAGAATTGAATTGAGTAATGGTGAGAGTTGAGATTTGAGCTATTCCCGTTAGCAGCAAGTTGTGATAAGAGAACAAAGCAAGAAATTCAAAAGTATCAAATGAGTGTTAGAAAAACGTCTAACATTATAAAGAGCAAAACGCCAACAGAATCTTTGCTGGCTGAGTCGTTCAGCGCCGTTGTAGTTTGTGAGTTCTTCGTAGTTGGTTTATACATAACAGTCGTAGCTGAGGCATCGAAGTTCTTCATTTGGCTCACCACGAGGTTCAGCGCTGTTGTAGTTTGTGAGTGTTTCGTGGTCATGGTACCAGTTGATTTATACATAACAGTCGTAGCTGAGACATCGGAATTATTCATTTGGCTCACCGTGAGGTAAAGCGCCGTTGTAGTTTGTGAGTGTTCTGTAGTCATGGCACTAGTTGGTTTGTAGATAACAGATTTAGCAAATCCATCGGAGTGATTCATTTGGATAACTGGGAAGTTCAGCCCTCTAAATCGGAATTCTCCCAGGCTTGGGATGGGATTTTGGGCTTTAAATACACCTTCCATGGTGTGATTTATCCGGAAAATGTCTACGGCTGGCTGTGTTGGTAGATTGTTGTTTATAAACTGCTGCCCGCTATCTGTGCCTGAGTCATACGGGGGTAACATGGTGACATTCCAGGTCTCTCGCCATTGTCCATTGTCACAGAGATCATGGCTGTCAATTCCTACGAACCAATCGGGGGATGGAGCAAGCATGCTGATCAGAGACACCCTGGAAAAGTTGGAGGTAACTTTGACTTGAATATTGGGTAGATCACCTACTGCACCAAGCCCAGACCCCGGCAGGATGAGCTGCCAGGCCTTTCCATCAGAGATTTGAGACTCTATTTCGCTTCGGAGGGTTCCAGTTTGACCTAAAAAAAACCGTGGTGATTTAAAATTTGGCTGATTTTGTTGTTGTGAGCCTCCTAAATATTGAAACAACCTTTAGGAGTTCATTTCAAAGGTCTTATTCCGCAGTAGAAGGGCCGCTACTTTACGATGACATTTCATTACCAGTTTGAGCTAGAAGAAAGAAACAAATGATAACAAAAACCAAACGGGGTCGATCTCTCTTGCCATCATTCTCTCGCGATACAAGCATTAATCAGTCAAGTTCTAACAGAAAGGTTACACTCACGATTCTGATTAACATCGACAAAAAGCATGAAATTAAATAGATTCAGTGTAATTACTCCGTTGATCATAGAGATGCGCCTTCGGCAAATATTTGTTAAATATTCCGTGACGCAATTTGGTATTGCCTGGGGCTCTGAATAACAAATATTTTGAAATGTTTTCCTATAGTTTTAGACGACCGGAATTTTTGAAAATTAATTCTTTCTAGGAATACATTTATAGATGAGAAGCTTCCAACTGACTAAAGCTAAAACGACTTAAAGAAAATATCCGCATCTTTCAAAAAAAGTATGATCATGAGACATACAAAATTTTGTTCCGGCAACGAACAACATAATGTAGTGTTATAACTAGCCATGGTCACAAAAGTTAACGCGCCTTGGAAATATAGCCGTCAAGAAGGTTTATTCAGTTGTTTCTTATATGAGAAAATGGATTGTTCGAATTCTACATCGATTAAAAAATAACCAACTGAAAAGTCTACTTTCTAACCTCTTTCAGCGACCAACTTTACCCCAGCAGAAGCTTTCTGTCCTCTTCGCCACATTATGTAGTCGGTACTGTGAGAACAACCTATCAAAGGCGAAAAATGTGCATTGCTTGGAAGGGCTGTGTTCGGATGGTTTGCTTGGGTCCAATCAGCTTTCCACGACAACGTATATGTGGCCGTCCCAGGACATTTAACGGCATTTGACGAAAGCACGAAAGCGCTTAGAACAGCCAAGAGAGAACCTATCTGTTGTGCCATCTTTTAAGACTGAGTTCGTACTTGAAGTCGCGCCTGAGGATTGTTTATAACTCGCTTCAATTTGAAACAATTATCTAAAGGTGACGCTGGCTCTACCTTATGATGCTCAAATATGATGATCAACAATGATGACTTTGCAAATCGTTGATCTAGAAGTGCGTGACCATAATGACTTAGCAAATTATTTATTCAGATAAATTCACCGACCGTGACTCTTTGTTTTGTGATTCTGTCATGGGAACTGGCGTGTCCGCAGACTCAACACTTCGCAGCCGGCTTAGAAGTGTCGGAAGTGAAGTCCAAAGAGTGGTAGAAGACATTCGAAACAAATTTGTCTAAAGTACATGCCATCACAGTTGGCTTTCTTTCTTAACGCTCGTAAATCAACAAATCATTCATGAATTTTAATAAAGCGAAATCTTTTTGCTATATAATAAATCCTTTACTGACCAAGCTTTTTGGTCATGGCTGGACCTTAGCCTTGTTCTCTTACTGCGGAGTGTGGCACTGATTGGTTACATGCTTATTTTAAGGACGTTGAATTCATCTCGATCCAGAAGAACGAAGAAAAAGAACTCGGCGAATATCCAGCCATCTTGACCTCACGCTTAGTCAACAACACGTATTGGTTGTTGGTTAAGGTTTGGTGATTCGATGAATAATGACGAAAAACAAAACAACGACGACAACAACAACTAAAATAAGACGCTGACACTATGACACTGGGAAACATTTCTTTACACCCCGAGTGTGAAACTATTCAGCTACTGTGTTATTTTCACGCGACTGTTCGTGATCCACAAAATGAATATTAAGGGAATAAGTTTCTATAGAAACCGTGGTGTTGTTTCGCCATGAAGTGGGGCTAACGTTCGGAAACTCTTTTCGGCGGCCCATTTATAATCAGTCATCAACTCAGTTGATAAAACCAAATAATGCGGGAAATTTAGGTGGCGGCCTACATACCAAACTTCACTACTCCTTAAGGGTAGGTTTTAGAAAACTGGTATTTTCTTGATACCAAAATTGAGAAAGTAATGGGGTGGTAAGGAAAGGGGGAACGAGGGGAAACCGCTGTTCAAGATTACGTGGACCCTTTGACGAGATTCTAGCGTCTCTCTCCAAGACTGTAAAAAGCTTTTCGAAATAATCATCATACCAGGTTTACTTGCGTTCATACAAGATTCGTTATCAATAGTTTTAAGGATAGCTGGGTTATATATGATTGAAAAATTCATGAAATGTTTGTTTTAACCGAGTGAAAGGGAGTAAAACTTACAAGATTCTCCAAAGGAAACCATAGCTACCACACCAAGTAAAATTTTTCACAGATGACCGGACCCCATTAATTTTTCACAGTGACGGAAATCTTCGACTCAAGAAAAATGCTTCACATATGTTTTGTTCGTTTTCTATTCAGCTGTTTTGGAAAAACTTCAAAAGCCCCACTCTACTCAGAAGCGAAAAACAAAAGAAAAACGCACATGATTTGACACTTTAAAACATAAATGCCACTATGGAAGTGACAGAAACGATCATGAGCAAATTAACACAATCTTTGCCGGCTGAGTTGTCCATAAGCTTGAATCGAAACTCCCCCAGGCTTTTGATGGCATTATTGGCCTTAAATGCACCTTCCATGGTGTTATTGATGCGGAAGATTGGCTGAGGGGGCACTGTTGGTTGATCGGAGCTCTCAAACTGAAGGCCGCTATCCGTGCCTGAATCATAGGGGGGCAACATAGTGACGTCCCAGGTCTTTCGCCATTGGCCATCGTTACAAAGGTCATGGCTGTCAATTCCCACGTACCAATCAGGTGATGGGCCAAGCATGCTGATAAGAGACACCTTGGAGTAATCGGGGGTAACCTTGACTTCAATATCAGTCTTTTCAGCTTCAGCGCCAAGCCCAAACCCCGGTAGAATGACTTGCCAGACCTTTTCAGCATCCTTCTGAACCTTTATTTCTGTTTCGAGAGTTCCAGTTTGACCTAAAAACAAATTAAAAATCAAAGATAAATACAATTAACTCTAAGACGTATTGATTCACATATGACCATCAAAACGAAAAATCGTTTTTCCTAAGTTTTACATCACGGATGCATTTCTATATTTACAAGTTATGTTTCTACCCGGGCATTTCTACCCGGGCACTTTAACACAAAAAAATGCTCAAAACAATGCAAAACAAAAAGACACACGACCAATTTAACACAAAAATGCTCAAAAATGCGGAAAATGTAAAATGTCCGCTCCTATCACATGCCAAATTATAGAATAAGGCATTTTCCATCTACTGTTATTTCGATTATTAGTATATTGGCTTCTATATTTCGAAGTACACCCTAAGGCTTCATTGACTATTCATCGCCCTCGAAAGACGAAAAAACACATACGAAACCATTTTAAGAGATTTTATGACCCAAAAAAATATGAGGTGGAAGATTTGTTGCTAAAAGCGAGGCTTAAAAAACGGAAAAAAACAAAAAACAAAACAAAAACAAATTACACCAGTTTACATTACTTGGGCTGAGGGTTAAGGGAAAATAAATCCGAACTGTCGAATATCGATCGTACTTCTAACATGTATTTGTATTTTCTATGGTTATGTTCGCCATTAATGTTAGGACAAGAAAAGAAAATTTTCTTAGTCGCTCTTTACGAAAAAACCTTTTTGTTCAGTATTTGAAAGAGATGATACGTAAAGAAACTAAGAAACAAGTGCTACAAAGTTCGTTTTCTCACCTTCCTCTGCCACCAGTTTAACACCAGGAGAAGCCATCATTCCTGTTCGCCACATTATATACTCAGATCCATGAGTACAACCGATTAAATTCGAAAAATGTGCACCGCTTGGAAGAGTTGCATTGGGATGATTTTCAGTTGACCATGAGCCGCGCCATGTCAAAGTATAGGTCACGTCTCCAGGACATTTTACAGCCATCGAAGAGGCCACCAACACGTTTACAAAGGCTGCGATTATGCTCAAACATTTAGCCATTTTGAAACGATCTTCCTTAAAGCTTTGCAAATTCGAAGTGACTTCGCAAGAAGAAAAAGCAACAATGGCTGTCACACGGTGACGCTTTGTTGTTATAAAGTTGGGCAACGGGATGACTCGGCGAATTCGACAATGAGTGCGTTCGTGACACGGGCGTCGTAAACAAGTCCCTCAAGGGTAATGTTATTCAAAAATCTTCTTTTAGAATTTACACAAAAGGGCCTGACGTCTTTAGTACTAAAAAAGAAAATTAATAGAAAAAGTAACCGCAACGTTGTTGCTAAGCAAAGCAGACTTTAATCAACTGGCCTAAGAGAAAAGATATTTGGTAATAGTTCGTTTGTTTCATGGAGTTTGTGACAAGAAAATCACGATGACCTGACAAATTGGTTCTTTCCTGGTGTACCGGTTCACAAGGGAATAACCATTGCTCTTTTTTTGTTTAGAAGTCATTGGTTAGCTGTTGTGTATTGTTCGGTCTTTTGTATCGGCTCTTGTGAACCGGTACAGAGGACAGAACCGACAAATTTCGCTCTGAAGATTACCACTCTACAAAATTGTTTCTTATCCATACTTGCCACCCGCAGTTAATGTTGTATTTGTTTCTTCACTCAGATGGATTTCTTGAAGGCCACTATTGAGGGATAAGCAATATCGGAAATGTCTTATATTGGAGGTTCCCACACTTCAAAGATAATTGGTCATAACATAAAGGCACTGTATCGGTCACGTAATTGACTTGTCGGAGCAGCTGAAATGTTCGTTGTTTTCTTTTTACTTTAGATACCACAACAGCAAGAAAAGGGTTACCGACAGAACATGATTCACCTGCAACTGAACTATTCGGTGGTTTTTCCAAATACCACAACGGCAAGAAATGGTTTACCGACACCACATGATTTACCTGCGGGAAGGCATAATTTTTTATGTTAACTTGACGTATAACTGCGTGAACTCGGGCTTTCAATAACGCACATCTGGAGTTCTCTTTAGGGGACTGCCATATTGCCATTGTTACTGTCGTCATGCAATTTAATTACTGGTCACGAATAAGTCTACTTGTTGTTTATGGAACGCCAGGACTGTCTTATGTCAATTTTCCTTATTAAAAGCTATGCTTTTGTCGTTATATGCGGTACAATTATCGTTACATGCAGTACGATTGTCTTTATATGCAGTACGATTGTCGTTATATGCAGTGCGTTAGTCGTTATATGCAGTGCGTTTGTCCTCATATGCAGTACGTTTGTCGTTATATGCAATACGTTTGTCGTTATATGCAGTGCGATTGTCTTTATATGCAGTACGTTTATCTTTATATCAGTACGTTTGTCTTTATATGCAGTACGTTTGTCCTTATATGATTACGTTTGTCTTTATATACAGTACTTTTGTCGTTATATGCAGTACGTATGTTGATTTATTACACGACTCGGGCAGTCAGAGGGCCAATAACTAAAATCAACCAATCAAAATGCTCTATTGCCGGTCCCATATTCTCTAAGTATTGGACCGGGCATTGTCCCGAATGGTCCCGAATGATACCGCTCTTGTGTCCCTTTGAACTTCAGTCGTATAATAAATCTCTTATTAACCAAGCTTGCTCGGGACCGTACTGGAAGAATATCGGCCCTCGGTCTTTTTTGTATGGACCTCGCTGCGCTTGGTCCGTACTGTCAAGACCTCGGGCCGATATTCTCCAAAGTTCGGCCCTCGCGCTTGGTTAATTAACAACTATTCATCGAAGTGGAGGTGGTTAGTGGTGGATATTTACCGAGCCGCGAAGCGGCGAGGTAAATATCCACCGCTAACCACCGACACTGAGGTTAATAGTTGTTTTAGTATATACTACAACAGTGAGATAATATACACCACCAAAAATTGATTTTAATTCATACGATTCCAACATTTCAACATTTTCCCGCGCGTAACGATCCAACGCGGCTCGCATTGCGGTAAGTGGTTTTTTGTTGTAAAAACTGCCGTGTCGTCTTTTCGCTGACAGATAGAATTTCTGAAGACATTTTGTTTAGCTCTGGTGGCGACATTTCTTCAAATGGTGTTGCAAACTCTATCTATATTTGAAACCATTCTGTAAAAAATACCATTCAACTTTGATTTTCAAGTAAACAAGTGAGGTTACGCAAGATTAATTTGCATTTGTAAACAAAACCTTTTTCACGGGTTTTTATCGATAAACTCCCGGTTACCATTACCTTTAAACACAGCCAAACCAAATTTAGTCGCTTTCTCTGTGTTTTCAGGGACTGCTTCGTTGTTATTTGAGTGATTTATTCGCTTGTCACGGATGCAAACCGGCACGCCACTTTTTCTCGAGTTGCTCGGAGGTAAATAGCAAAGGATATTCGGAGTTTGACTAGCCAATCAGAGCGCGCCTTCAACGCTATCCACTGTTTTAGTATATACTAAT